TTAGTAGAGACGGGGTTTCACCATGTTGACCAGGATGGTCTCGATTTCTTGACCTCCTGATCCACCCGCCTCGGCCTCCCAAAGTGCTGGGATTACAGGCGTGAGCCACCGCGCCCTGCCCAGTCCCCTTTTTAAACAGACGAATGGGCGACTTCCTGTGGCTCCAATCGCCAGCCAAAAGGGCACCCGGACCGGTTTATTTTGTTCGGAGAACCGGAGAACCGCTGCTCCGGGGCGCCGACAAAGCAGCCGCGTGGGGCAAATTGGAGCTCCTCTGCCTGGGAATTTCCTAGTCTGTGGGCAATAAAAATGCGGCGTCCACTCACCGTCTGCGCTTTCACTTGGAGCTGCAATCCTGAGCTGTTCCTAAACGGCCATCTTGGATCCTCCCCCCCACATGACTTTCATACTCAACTCAGTAATGTCAAAACTTTGTTGTGTAGTAGCTTTAAATTGCTTTAAAAGCCATTTTTCTTTGCACATAATGCAATCAAGTGAAGTGTAACTGTGAGAAACTATTAGTAAAATGTGAAAAGTTACCATAAAGGCAACATGCTCTCCTCTTTTGGGCTCCCTGTATGAAACTGTGGGGCTTTGTCAGGATTAATCCACTGTTTCCTTTGCCCATTTTATTTTCTTCACTACTTTTAGTGCGAATCAAGTAAAGACACCAGTATTAATCTACACACTGATGTGTGTCAACATGTTCAATGTATAATAAAATCTGATAGAAATCAGAGTGGAGGTAATAAGACAAGTGAACCATAACCTATTTACTTACGTATTATAACCATGCATTCATTCATTCTTGGCTCATTCTACAAATACAGCATGCCTTTTATATGCCAGGCCCTGTGCTAAGAGTTGGAGATACAACCAAAGATGACATAGAAATGCACCCTTATCTCATGAAAGTCATAATCTACTGGGATTATAGACATATAAGCAAATACAGTTCCATATGATAAGTGACAGGGGGCTATAGGAGGAGTGGGATTCAGACCTGAAGAATGAATAGGAGTTCACCAGCTAGAGAAGTAAGGAATTATCTTAGGAAAAAGGGGACAGAGGTAATGACAAAGTATGTGGTAATATGGTCCCAATAGTACAAGCTCTGGCTGTGTTTCATCTAGAAGTGTAATGTTCATTTCGAAACTAATCAAGTTATCAGTGAAAAAAATTCTAGCTAATTAATGCTTTGGAGGGCAATGAGAATCACATAAATATACAAAGATTTTACCGAAAACAACAAAAGACAAAGTATTATAGCCTAGCCTTTTATTCTTAGATAGCTTTTATATCACTAAGGCAGAGAGACAAAAAGAGACAGAAACACACACACACACACACACACACACACACACACACACACACAGAAAGAGAGAGAGAGAGATAGAGAGAGAGAGATAGACAGAGAGGAACAAAAACCCGTGTGATATTAGCAGGTGGCAATTGTGCCACAAAGATTTTTTTCTAATTTCTTGACTTTTTCCCCCACTAAAAACAGAAGGAAATAATATAAAAAAGGGAAAAACAACAGGGAAATGCAGAAACACTCCCACAAAGGGGTTATTGTTTTGATCCAGATTGTGCTGGAAACACCAGCAAAATAGGGCGTCTTTGTTTCATTGCGAGGAAGCATATCACCGTCAGTGTGAAATTCTTGAGATTCAGACTGGCAATCATCTACTCCCATGATTTCAACAGGCTGCAGATAACCACATGTATGATCACTTAAGACCTGTCTCTCCCACTACACTACAATTTCTAAGAGGTTCCTGTTGCAAACCAGTTTCCCTGGGACCTGGTGTAATACTTGGCACATAGTAAGGTGCTCAATAAATGGTTGTTGAAGAATGAAGGCAGAGATCTATCTTTCCAGCCACATTTCCTTAAGCTTTTTTCCTCCTTGCCTTACCTATGATGGGGAACATCTACCACAATGGCCAAACCAGGCATCGTAGGCCTTCTTCAATGGTCTTTTACTTCTTTGGCAGGACCTTTATCACTTCATCCCAGGAAATGCTGTTGCTCCTCTGGGATTAGACTCCATGTTCCTGGAGGGCAGTACTATGTTTATTCATTCATTAAAATGCCTGGAATTTTATAAAATGACTAGCATATGGTAGGTGCTTGATAAGTCTAAGTGATTTTATCAAGAATTCATGAACTTTACAATGAATTTATTTGTATCAACAAATATTTATTGAATTTTTAATCTGCCAGGCATTGTTTTAGATGCAGAAGATACAGAGGTGAACAAGCATGATAAGGCCCCTGGAAGTTTAATGGAAGTTTAAATTCTAGTGGAGACGAACTAGATCCCTATCTTTCACCATATACAAAAATCAATTCAAAATAGATTAAGGACTTCAAATTAAGACCAGGAATTATGAAACTACTAGGAGAAAACATAGGGGAAATGCATCAGGACATTAATCTAGGCTAAGATTTTTTGGGTGAAACCTTACAAGCATACGCAACAAAAGCAATAATAGACAAATGGGATTTATATCAAACTAGACAACTTCTGGGCACAGCAAAGGAAGCAGTCAACAGGGCGATGAAGCAAACTACAGAATGGGAAAACGTATTTGCAGGATGTCTGACAAGAGCTTAGTAGGCATATTATATGAAGAAATCAAACAATAGCAAAAAAACAAATAATCTGATTAACAAATGGGCAAATGACCTGAATAGACAGTTCTCAAAAAAAGACATAGACACATCGCCAACAAATATAGAAAATTTCTCAACATCACTAATCATCAGAGAAATGCAAATCAAAACCACAATGAGATATCATCTCACCCTAGTTAGAATGGGTATTACCAAAAAGACAAAATATAACAAATGCTGGTGAGGATGTAGAGAAAAAGGAACTCATATACTGCTGTGGGAATGTAAATTAGTATAGTTATTATGAAAAACAGTATGGAGGTTCCTAAAAAAACCCTAAAAATAGAAATACAACATGATTCAGGAATCCCACTTTGAGTATATACCCCCACCAAGAAGGAAATCAGTATGCTGAAGAGACTTCAGCATTCCCATGGTTGTTGCAGCACCATTCATAACAGCCAAGATATAGAATCAACCTAAGTGTCCATCAATGGATGAATTATAAGAAATGTTGTACATATACGCACTGGAATATTACTCAGCCATAAAAATGAATGAAATTGTGTCATTATGGCAATATGGATAAGCCTGGAGGACATAACATTAAGTGAAATAAGCCAGGCCCAGAATGACATAGCCTTCATTCTCACTTACATGTTGGAGCTGAAAAAGTTTATTTCATAGAAGCAGAGAGTAGAATCGTGGTTATCAGAGGCTGGGAAGGGTAGGGGGAGTGGGAATAGGAAGAAGTCGGTCAATAGGTACAAAATTACAGTTAGATAGAAGGAATGTGTTCTAGTGTTTTATACCACACAGGGAACTACAGTGAGTAATAACTGTATATTTCTAAATAGCTTAAAGAGAAGATTTTGAATGTTCCTAACACAAAGAAATGATAATGTTTGAGATTAGAAAAGTCCCAATTATCCTAATTTGATCATAACACATTGTAGACATATATTTATATAACACATGTACCCCATAAATATGTACAATTATGCATCAATTTTTACAAAGAATCTAAAAACTTATACCGAGTAAAACTAAAAAAAAAAAAAAAAATTCTAGTGGAGACAGATAATAAGCATGGCAGACTTCATTTTTGACATTTGTCAAAGGCATTTTGACAGCTTTTAAGCCCACTCCTCCCTTTTTCCTTTTTCCCCATCTCTGGGTGAGCAGGTAAGAAAGCCTGGGTACTCTCTCCCTTGGTGATGGTGGGGTGTTCAGACCATAGAAATCCTGGGGGTGTGTGGAACTCTATAACCCTGGCCTAATCTCCTAGCCACAATAACATCTAAGCCATTTGCCCCTTCATTCAAGTCATTTTCAATTACACTGTTCCTTCCAGAAAGCCTCAGCATGTGGGTAACAAACCTTTTCAGATCTTGGTGCATTTGTCATCTCTCTGGACATTTGGATCAATTTGATGGTGGTGGTGGTGAAGGGATTGATCCTGCTCTCTGTGGAGCAGCTTAGCTTGTCCAGGCTGCTGTCGCAAAATACCTTGGACAGAGTAACTGATAGACAACAAAATTGTATTTCTTACAGTTTTCGGGGCTATGAAGTCTGAGTCATGGCACTGGTGTTGTCTGGTGAGGGACTGTTTCCTCATAGGTCATGCCTTCTTGCTGTGTCCTCACATGGTGAAAGGGGGCCAACAAACTCCTCTCAGGCCTCTTTTATAAGAACACCAATCCCATTTATGAGGGCTCCATGCTTATGACCAATCACCTCCCAAAGGTCTCATCTCCTGACATCATCACATTGGGGATTACATTTCAACATGTGAATTTTAGGAGGACACAAACATTTAGGCCACGGCACGGGGAATCACAAGACATATGTAAACAAACAGGGTGATTTCAGATAATGGTAAATGTTATCAGAAAAATAAAATAGGACAATGAGATAAAGAGTAAGTAGTTGGGGGACGGGGGTCAAGAGATGGGGACAGTTTGAGCTCTACAGACTTACGTGGCAATTTAATCTCTTGACACACACTCACCTTGATGTGGTGGGACTACCAGCTGCCTCCCAATGGTGTTTCTCCCTTCTCTGTAATAAGAAAAGAATCATAATAATACTTCATTTCTTCTTCCATTTTAAGCTGACTACAGGGCCTCTCAGATTAAAACCAACTTGTCAAGCTCCCTTTTAACTGGCAGAGTCATGGGGACTGAGTTCTAGACAATGAAATTGGACTGAATCCCATTCTTTTGACTGGTGGCTGGAGCTCCAATAGCGACCCTGGACCACAGCATAACCATGGGAATAAAATCTGTGCAGAGTAGAGCCACAAAATAGAAGGAACATGTATCCTGACTCTGGGGAGCACCAAAGCTCTGCTTAGCTCTGGACTTGAATGTTTAGGGGAAAACCAATTGTATCTTGTTAAAGCCATTACACGGTTAGGGTCTCTGCTTTTTTCACCTGAACGAATCCTAAATCATACATTTGTTAAACATATCACTTTAGAACCTGTCTTCCTCCATCTCTTAATATCATCCACCAACTCTATTCACTCTGTTTGACCCTGGTTTTCTTGTTTCTTCCCTCCTATTTTACCCCTTTGTTTTTTGTCTATTTTCCCTTAATTGAGCATCATGCAAAACTCAAATAGCCCGATGTATTATCTACTGAACACAGTTTAAAAATTAACATTTATTAAAGAGAATATGAAACATACAAATGTAGAGAGAATGAAATACTGAATCTTTACGTACCCATCACTCCACCCCATCAATCATTAACCTATGATCAGCTTCTGCCCCACTCACACGGTAGCCTGTTTTCCCATCCTGTATTATTTTGAATCAAATTTCAGATCTTTTATTGTTATTAAATCAAGTTTCAGACTTCTTTATTTAAGAAGCAGGCAAGTCAATCTTTTTTACTTTTTCCTGACATAAAGACACATTTCTTAACTCATGGCTTCTTTTGCCTCATAAAAATCATCCTGTTCGTTTCCTGTTTATCCTCCCTTTCCCCCTGCCCCTTCTTCCTCCCTCTTCTTTTTTTCTTTTTCTCTTTCCCTTCCTACCTTCTTCCTTCCTTCCAGCATATTTTTTTAAAAAGGAAGTCCAGGTCTAATTTTCCCAATTATACCTATGGGTTTTCGATATACATCTCTCTTTCTGTTTTCAATCACTTTAGCTAAAATGGCAGAGTTTGCTCATGGATAGTCCCTTTATGAGTTTGGATAAAGTGACATTTAAAAAGTCACATAATCCTCAACCCTTTTTTACATAATAAAAACTGGCTACACTAGTAATACAATGGGAAGATATAATGAATAAGAAGAATCCATTTATAGTAGTCACCAAAATTAAGTATTGGATGCTATTTTAACTAGGAAAACTCAAAAACCGTAATGATACCAGTGACTTGTTTTTATAACATCGAGAAGGCATTGAGCTTTTGTATTAGTGGATTTGGGCCATATGGATGGGTTCCCATAAACAAGCTTGAACTGTCTTGATGTCATTCATGCACAGAAATCAAGCATGGCAGAGTGCAGCCAGTATTTTGGAGGGAGTACAGATTACTTGGGCATGATAGAGGCAGATCTTTCCACACAAGGGTCTACAGAGTCAGTGGCAAATTCTCATAGATTTTATTTGCTTTTGTTATTATGATATGATGAGAAATAAATTTATGATCTGTATACTGTACCAGAACAAAAGAACTATGACCAGTTAACATCCCAGATTCTGTGTACTTTTAAAGGCCTACTGTGTTCCTGAGCATTTCTAAATTATTCCTACTCTGGGAAATTGTGGGGTGCTACTTCTACTCTGTTACTTTAACCTACATCATAATATTGAACTTCAGACCACTAAGGAAATGTGATAATTCTTGCACCCTTAGCTTGGTGGAAGAACTTGTAATTGTTGCATATTGTGTTTACTTGTCTAGACCAACGGCTGTAGTTACTGGAAACATGGATTTGTTTTCATCTCTAACCTCTCCACACTCGGCCTGCAGAAGTCCGTGAGTCTCCACGAACATTTTGTGAAATGAGTATGCGAATGCAGAAACTCTTTAGACAGAACCAGTAGCACAGTTTCTTGGAGTTCAGATTTATTTAGAAAGCTGGCAATTAAGTCCTCTTTTGTTTGTTTGGTGGCTCATAAAAGCACTTTTATTTTTCTCAGTTTTAATCTGATATATTTTTTTCTTTTCTTTCTTTTTTTTTTTTTTGAGACGGAGTTTCGCTTTTGCTGCCCAGGCTGGAGTGCGATGGCATGATCTTGGCTCACCGCAACCTCTGCCTCCCGGGTTCAAGCAATTCTCCTGCCTCAGCCTCCCGAGTAGCTGGGATTACAGGCGTGTACTACCACACCCAGCTATTTTTGTATTTTTAGTAGAGATGGAGTTTTTCCATGTTAGTCAGGCTGGTCTCGAACTCCCAGCCTCAGGTGATCCACCTGCCTCAGCCTCCCAAAGTGCTGGGATTACAAGTGTGAGCCACTGTGCCCGGCTGATTTGATATTTTTTCTCATCACACTCCACTCCATTCCAGTCTTAGGATCCTCACCTTTTTGTGACACAACACTTAACCTCTCCTAATATTCTTGATATTGTGCATTCTCATTTCTATGCTCATGTGAATTTTGACTTAAGATTTCAGACTCAGAGTTGAGCAAATCTATATACTACTCATGAGAAAGTAGTAGAACTGTTCCCCCCAAAACGAAAAGAACTGTCTTCTGGGTTAGTGGTTTTAATTGAAGCACAAAGGTTTTAAACCTTTTCCCCTTATGGTCTTGGGGAAGCAACTATTTAGAAAATTTGCATGTAAAAATAATATTGTTCTAGCAAATCATACACTTTTGTGTGTGCAAGGGAGAGAAGGGAGAGATAGAGATGGAGATAGACAATGCTCTAACTGGAGACATTCATCCTACATTTAAATATTTTGAATTTTCAGTAGCCTGTGAATACAAGAAAACATTACATTAAGGTAGACTTTAGAGATTTGGCATGTAGCTGATATTTTCACAGCGCGAGAAATATCAAGCTGACATTATGCTGTCTCTGAGATGATTATTTCCAAATGTCAGAGTGCAGAAACTTATTCATGGGACTTCAGTGCCTTAGGATAGTGTCAATTTAAAAGACATTCACATTGACTTCTTTTTTATTTAAACATGCTAAATGAGGTATGAAAAGCAGGTTAAGAAATCAACTGAGAAAGGAAGAGCAAAGAAGAAACCTGTTGACAAAATTTTAAATAATAGAATGATGTACTCTTCAATCAATTTTCACAGACCCCTTGCTGACAGTGGGCTTAGGCAATTGCCTCCTAATCCTTCCGACAGCTGTAATTTTGCTGTTCATGTTATTTCACTCATCTCACTTATAGTGAATTTGGAAAATTAAAAATAAGTAAAAACTATTTA